ACCAGTCAGTTTTTTTGTTTCTTTGCGTTCATGACTTTTTTACAACTCTCTGTTGGCTGTGTTTATTTGATTCAATTTTAAGATGATGAAGGAGTTGCTTACAGCTAACTAAAATTTTTCACCAACTGCTATTTCAATTCTTGTTCATTTCCGAAGGTGAGGAAACAATTTCATGTTCTGGTGTTTCTGATTGCGAAATCGGTGCCTCAATTAAGAGTCAGACGAAATGGTTTAGTTTGTTTCAGACCTTTCAGTCACTGTTTGTGTTGCATTGACACTTTCGTACATTGCTGGAAAAAGTTTGATGTTTTCGTTGTTCAGATGAACTTGATAGGCTTTATTTCCTAGATTTTTTTCGTGAAGCAACATCTCAGGCTCTCGAACATTTTGTTTGAATCAGTTGAGTTCAATTTTACAGTCATGAACTAGTTTGTGAGGATTTTTCGGCAGTATTTTTTTGTAATTATCAGATATCTTTGACATGCACAAACCTAATCGAAAATTTATATTCAAAGATGCTTAAGTGAAGTTTCGAGAGATTTTTGACTTTCTTTGATACACATTTTTGCTTATATGGAGTTCTGAGTTAGATTTTATACAGTTTCCTGCAATAAAAAACTCGACTCATTGGCTGCTTCTAAGTCTAAAGCAGACATCATTTCATAGAAATGTTGAAGAATGTCCTTTTCAATTTCGAGTTTGGAAGAAGATAGTGTTTTCTGACTGAGTGAACTATTTGCTTGAGAGTCTTTAGTAGAGAGGTGTCTCAACCTGGCCCGTTCCTCGTCGCTTATTGTGAACTCGAAACTTTTCACTCGCCCTGCGATCAACTCGAACTGCTGAACTGGTTCGGCGATGAGGCGCTCGTATTTCACTGCAAACAGACAATCTCCGAAGGTACCCTTGGATAGCAGTACCTTGTATAGCAAGATAAGGTAGGGCAACCCGCCGTAACACATTTGTCCGATCATTTCGTTAGACGCAGCTCTAATTTTTGCGGCATCTTCTAGCATTGTCCGTGCTTCCGCGATGTTTGCGATTGTGGCTTCGAGTGGCAATATAGTGCCCTGAATCATGCTTTTCAAGTCGAAAACTTTGGCCATGAAAGAATCCATTTTAGGCAAGAAGTTCCCGAACGACTTGACGAACGATTTCAAAGTCGGCATTGTATCCCTGTACATGAAGATATGAGTAACTTTGTCTTGAATCTCGACTGGAGTTTTGACGATATACCAGAAACACATGCTCCGTGGTTTGATAATGACGCATTTAGTTTTCGGGTATCTTGCTTTGACCTGTATTAGATGATACTTCAAAGAGTTCTTAAGTGCTTTCTCGCACAAGGCGTCGCCCATACCCTCCTTATAATGCATAAACATGAAGATGTCGTCGGGTTCCGAAATTGTGACAAATCCATCGAAACTCGTGAACAAATTAGCGAGAAGGGTAGAACCACATCGTCCCACCGACCACAAGAAAATTAAGTTCACTTCAGGCCATGGTTGCTCGTCGATAAACTCGACAAAATCTGTAATCGGAACGGTTATTTTAGACGTTGCTTCTTTATATGCGCCATGATAGAAGAAAGGATACTTTTCAGTGTTGTAGACATCTCCGGGGCTCTTCAAAATTACAGTTTTCCTGTCCGTATAGTTTACAGCAACATGATTGGGTTCCAACAATTTTTGAATGTTTTCGCGATTTAAAAAACTGCAGACGAAAGCTTCTTCCTGAACCGGGTGCAGCTCCTCCCTTTTTCGGTATGAAATGTTCCAATTGTTGATTTGTTTGGTTCGTAGTGGGTAGATTTTGTCTTGGATTGATATGATAAGTTTGGAAAAGAAATTGAAGGCGAAAAGAATAAGCTTGTCTAGCATTGCGATTGTGATCGTGTGTTTTGATGGTTAGTTTTGGAGGCCAAGAGCGAGATCAACATTCAAAATCTTTCTGCAAGTTTCGATCAAAGTTGATATGATTTGGTGTGGTGGCGGAGTCCTAAGTTATTTGTGTTTTTGGTAATCAGAAGAAAGTTCCAAATTGATCAATTTGTGTTGGATTTTGGAGATCTATGAGCTGAGTTTAAAACCGATTGGACTGACAAGAAGTAACTTGCATGAGTTCTATTTGATAACTATGTGTTCTTTACCTCATATTTGTGGGTCTAGGACAATAAGCCGAAGGGACTTCAGGCCGAAATTAAAACTTTTACAAGCACCCCAAAACGCTATTTTATCATTTGCAAAACGTTGCTTTTCTAAAATTTTGGAAAATTTAGTCCATGATAAGCGTTATTCATGACAATGCACCACTTGTGATTCGCATCCGTTAATAACATCAGCCGGTTTTTGAAATGCATAAATTATAAACATGAAAAATGCTTTCAACCATGTTTTACTTTTCAACTTTCCGGAACATCATTTGGAGGCTTAAATTATATGCAAACGCCAATAACTAGTGAAGAAAGATCATGAAATTCAGAAATTCTTCAAAAAAGTTTTCAAATTGTTCATATTTCACGACTTTATAAGGAATTATTCGGCTTGAAGTCCCTAATTTTACAATTCGGCCTGAAGTCCCGTCGGCTTGATGTCCGGCACTCCATATTTGTTGGCTATGCGTGATATGTGTTGTCATTGTCATTGAACAGTAAGTCCACATTAAAGAGCGCCAATCTTAAGCCTTCTACGTAATTTGCCTGTACAACTTACTTGTTATATCTAAATAGTCTTGGATTCCAAGGTTGATCAACTTTCTAAAAGCAGCTTGACTTAAACTTATATTGACTATGAACAAGTAACTTTGGTTTTTGGTCACGCAACTTGAACTAGCTAGCCATCTATGACCATTGACCAATGATGGAGTAATAACTCGTTAGTGCAACATGTTACAGTTTCCCCTAAAATGATCTGAAAATATCCTCTGCAGAATGGCTTCCTATTTCTTGTCATGTGAGCAATTCAATGAGACTATTCTGATTGATGTTCACAGGAGTTTTGTAGGCATAACCACTGAATATTTCAAGCTTAAAAATAACTACTTATTTTGAACATGTTCATTTTCCAAATATTTGCTAATTAAATCCGTTGGTTTCCGATTTGCGATAGCTCAGTCAATTTTACGATGTCAATGTAAACTCAATTGAAAATCTAAGATGAAAGGGAAATAATGGGAAAATTTGCGGAATATTTTTTTTTCAAAATTTTATTTGACTTTAGTTGGAGGACTAACAAGTCAGGAGGAATTTTGCTTTGATTTTTCTGAAAACTTCCTATTTTGTCCTCGCAAAAGCAGATGCCGCAATTAATTGTCAGAATTGGTCGAAAGGTATATCATGCTAAATTTCTTTCAGTCGTTATTTGAACGCCATCAAAAATTATCTTAAATATTTTCTTCGTGTTGAGGAAAACAGGCGTTCAATTTTTGGTTTTAGGTCTATCTTTCCTCAAATAAAGCGAGCGAGCAGGCGTATGAAAGGAGGGCAAGCGTTTATTTCAGCCGTTTATTAAGTATTTGTTAATGAAATTTTTTTAAATGCAACAAAAAATCTTTGCGAATATTTATAAAAATTTACCCTAACTAATTTTTTTTCGTTTTAACTAAGAGAATGCATTGTTAGATAACTATTAGATAACTAAAGTATTAGATAACTACTTAAGACAATAGATAACTACTTACTCGGTGCAGTTGACTTGACAATTGACCTGCATTCTAGAGGCTCGTTCTAGAGATGGTCTGAATCCTGTAATCGGCTTTAATTTTCCAAGCTACTTGTTGACTTAATTTTGTGCTTTCGTACCGTTTTTAAGTCTCAATGAGCTTTTATACAGGTCAAGTTAATTTTTTTCACGCCAAGTATGATCTTTACAATTTGATTTTGATTTAGGTTCAACTCAAAATCAATTTTGTAATTGGAAAGCGTAGTTTATCCACCTTCTTTTTAGCTATCCAATTACGAAAGTAGAAATAGCGCGAAGAAATTTCAGGTTCTTCTAGTTTGGAAAGTGGCGTTCGCTTGTTTCCCAGCGGAAATTGTATTTTTAAGTTAGCTTAATCAGAATGCTTTGTTTGATCTCTATTTTTGAGGTATTCCATTCGTGCATTGCCAGTTCAGGTAACACTTCTGCAACTAAATATGCACATTTTGTTTGATATATGTTAATGCTTATATATGTTAGTTTCAGATTTTTAAGAGTTATGAACGTAGTGAGGACCCTTATATAGGTCTTGTTGATTTTTTGTTTTTTTTTCAGGAAAAAGTCTAAAATTTTGTTCAGGCTCAAATTCACTTTTTCGTGGTTTGACTTCTGATTTCTTTTTAAGTTCAGTTTATTTCCTTTTTTAAGAGGAAGATGAACTCCACTATCGAACAGCAAAAGTGTAAAGATTACGAAAAACTTAATTGACTTCTGATTTTGAACGTGGAATTAATTTATCAGATTTCCCAGCAAAACGGAAGTTTTTTCTATGATCCCTTTTTCTCGAATTGGGTTAAGTTTATTCGAAATTCGAAAATTGAGTTTATTTTTAAGTTTAAGTTTAAGTTTTTTAATTGAGTTTATTTCCCTTGTTAAAAGGAAAGCAAGTTCCACTGTCGACCGCAAAACTGTAAAGGTCACTAAAAATGTGATCAGCTTCTATTTTCGAAAGTGGAAGTCACTCATTTTTTCGGTTTCGTTGCCTTCCTTGACACATTTACAACTGGCAGTTGGCTACGTTTTTTTTCGCTAGTGGCTGCGGATTTCATGTCCACTTCTGTGTTTAAAATATTCGTTAACAGGAAATGAGCTGACTAAAAAATAATGTTTTTATAGATCAAGAGTGTTTACAAGAAGTTTTTGGGCTTATGTTTTGAACACTAAAGGGGATATACAATTGATAACAATCAGAATTTGAGTTGAATACAAACATTGGAGTTTTGAGAGTTATGAAATGTTGTGATTTGTTTCAACTGCTGTTTGGCTCTATTTGTCATATTTTGAGAAAAAAGTCGTTTGTTTCAGATGTCTTGAAGCACCTGGTGCAGAGGCGGAGACATGGCGTGATAGCCCTGCATCAGCACCTGGTGGAGTTGTCAGTGTGGATAGATGGACTGGGGGACACTCTCAGACAGGAAGACAATGAGTTCGTTCAGTGGACGGGACACCATGTGCTCACAAAGTTACACACATTTCAGGTTCGCGACCGCCAGTCATTGTTCCGATTTTGGAGAAAATCTGTGTGGTTAAATCAAATGTGAAGAAACTTTATGCGATCACATGTGCAAGAAGTTCTTTGACATGCTGCAGGGGAGGATCTAGGATTTTCTCCAGGGGGATGCGGATTTTCAAAAAACTTTATCGGCCTTTTTTTAGGTCGACCAAATTGATTTTTCGAGCTCTCCCAAAGCACTGTTTTGTCCCTATTTTGGCCAAATTTTCTGCACCGCAGGCAAATTTTGAAAAAATTGGCCAAAAAGGCGTTTTTAGGCACTTTTTGGAAAATCTTGACCGAAAAATTTTGTTTTTTCGGCGCGCGCTCCCCCCTCAAAATTAGTATATATTGGCGCCTTTAGAAAAATTTTAAGGTTGGTCGGCCAAAACTGGATTTCTTAAAAGTACCAAAGGGGGACCCTTTGGGTCGGCAGGGGGTCGAATCCCTGAGGGAAAGGCGTCCGCACCCCCCTCCCCCAATCCGCCCCTGACATGCAGGTTTAATTGTGTGTCAATTTAGAATTTGTTTTTTTTTAACAGGGAATAGAGTTAGACTTATCTTGGACGCAACAGGACTTGGACCACATCAACCAGGAGGCGATTCGATACTCCCAGTACCAGTATCAAACAGAGTCATCGACCACTTATTCGTCGCTCTCACGTGACAACATACCCATGACTTCTGTGGGAACAGGTACTCGTGAGTCTGATCATCGACTGGGAAGAGTTTCAATGGAGGAGATGGTCGCAGCTCCTCCGAAGCTGGACGAGCAAATTGGTATTCTGAACCAAAGGTGGCAGCATATGAGAGAACAAGTACAGCATAACGTCCAGGTAGAGTTTTTATTGTACTATTGAGTTAAGAGTCAGCCTTGTGGTTTGCAATGACGACATTGTATGATTCCATTGAAAAATGAAGATTTTCTGTTCATTTTTTCAGTGAATGTCTTAAGAGAATAAGATGAAACTTAGGAAAACGATTTTTTGTTTGTAAATTTTGTAGTTTTCTGGACATGAAATTAGGATGTGAAATAGGATAATAACCACTTCTTAAATTCTGAAAAGCAAAATTAGATAGTGCACCACTCTTTTCTCATCCACATCCCAAGTCAGGGGCGGATCTAGGATTTTCTCGAGGAAGGGGGCGGATTTTCAAAAAACTTTCAAGGTTTTGTAGACCTGTTTTTTAGATCGACCAAATTGATTTCCCGAGCGCTCCCAATGCACTAAAAAGTCCCTGTTTTGGCCAAAAATTTCTGCGCTGCCGGTAAATTTTTGAAAAAACAGGCCAAAAAGGCGTTTTTAGGCTTTTTTGAAATTTTTTAAACCAAAAAACCGCGTTTTTTTCTGCGTGCGCTCCCTCTTTTAAATTAGTATATATTGGCGCCAAAAAGGCGCCTTTAGAAAAATTTTAATGTCCGTCAGCCAAAATGGATATCTCAAATTAGTTCAAAGGGTGGTGACCATTTGGGTCGGCAGGGGGTCGAATCTCTGAAATGGGGGGGGGGGGGGGGTGTCCGCCCCCTCCCCCTAAATCCGCCCCTGTTCCAAGTGGCAAGTTTTTAAAATTGGTAATCATGGCTGACCTCTAATGATTTTACTTCGAAGTACTTAGAATTGGGCGCTAAAAACGCATTTGACGCATAGTGTCTTATCGCTCTAATGATTGAAACAAATATCAATTTATTCAGTCGGAATCCGGTCCGAAGTACGTATTGGACAGCAAACTCATTATTTAGATACTTCTGGACTACGACAAAGTGTGGAAAGAATACGACTACAAGATAGAGTCCCTTATACAGTGGATTGAATACAAGAAATTCATGCTCTCCCGCTTCTCGGACGGGTGAGTTTTTGTCCCACAAACTTCAAGTGGAATTGGTTTTAATTAGTATTCTTAATTTTGTTTCGAGCTTAATATTCTGTTCTTTTTAATGATTCAATTCAGCATTGTGTAATTTAGTTGTGGTCACCTCATCGGGGTTAACTTCGCTCTATCCCAACTGGACCAGCTGGAGCATGGCATGGTGGACATGTGTGCGCAGCTGGAGGATGTGAAGAAACTGGGAGATGAGTTGCTGGGAAGACATAACCACGTGACATCACTGATTGTTTCCGAGAATGAGACCAGGCTGCACAAAGCGAAGAATCATCTGGTGTCAAATATAGCAGCTTTCAGGTTAGTTCATTGCTATGGATGGTATGGAATGATCATATAAAGTAAGTTTGGGATGTTATTTCTCGCAAAGTGAAGGTTAAATGGCCTAACAATTGAGAGTAGATGAACTTGTCAAGGCTTGTCGTCAGAACCCAGAAAAGTTACGATTTCATAGTATCGTGGGATTAAGTCATGGAAGCAAAAGCTATCTGGTTATAGATCGAAGTTCGAGGAAGCTAAAAGCAACTGGCTCATCTATGAGTCCTGTCTGGACCCAGTTGTCCAGGGCTTGGCCGATGCTAAATTCACAGTTTCAACCAATCATGTTGTCTCTGGCAATCTGGAATCGTTCCAAACTCAGTTGCAGCGATTTGAGGGTTTTGAGCGAGATCTGGGTTCTTTGCAGAACAAGCTGGCTCATCTCTCTAATATAACGGATACCATGTGCCAGATTTGCGAGGGTTCTGTCTGCGAAGAATTGAGAGACACGCAACGCCGGTTGTTTGACAGGTGAAAATAATAGATAGTTTGATGAAAAGCCTGAAAGTGGTTCCCAAAATGAGTTAACAGGGAGATTGATAGAAGACTAGCAGGTTCAAAATAAGATTTGTCTCATATATCGGGTTCTCACTTTAAAGAAGTAATACTGATGCACAACATTCTTCTTCAGGTGGCGGGAAAACGTGGATTCGAGTTCGCTCGTGTGCAAATGGATGGAGTCAGTAGTCCACAAGTGGCACCTGTTCGAGCAGACATTCGCCCAAATTGAGGCAGAAGTGAAGAGAGTGAACAGTGACTACAGGCGCATAGAGGACGCAGTCGGCACTCACTTCTCGCACAAACCACATGCTACCAATGTGAAGTTGAGCCACGAAGACGTGAAAGCACTGAGCCACAGAATACATGTAAGAATACTCGCCGTGTTTACAATCATCAGCATCAAGCTGTTCTCCGCTTTTTAAATCAACTTTTAGCTGTCAGAGTTTCACTGTGGCTCGCCCTTGCGTTTTTCAATTGTTAAATAGCAATTTATAGTGCTCCATAGTTGTCTAGTTCTGGTTGAAATTGAGTCATAACGATTGTTTGGCTCTTAGATAAAGATTAATATCAATGCGACGTCATCATTTTTATTGCTTTCGGTTCAGAAAGATTTGCCTCTGTCGGTTGTTTTCTCTGCTCTATTTCTGGATAGCATAAATTTCTCTGAATAGGTTCTGGAAGGGACCCTGAAGTCTCTAGAGATGGACCAGCTGTACATTTTGAAAGATGAACTGAGTAGGGACAGAATCCACACCGCGACTCTCAGTCAGCTGGACTCCCGCGTGAAGTGTCTCCACGACGACTTCGATGCTTCTCTGTTCCTAGTCACCCGAATGATGGGAAACTTCTTAACTGCGCAAACGAAATACGAGGTTTGTTATGGAAACTGATGAAACAAGCAGTTAACTTAAGACATTAAAAGCGGCATACAACGACGAAATTTTAGATCAACTGATCAATTTAGAAAAATATCAATTATCATATGCGTGTCGTAGCTGTCATTCGGAGAAATCACAAGGCTCCTAATATACACTTCTAAGCAATTGTATTAAACAACCGAGTGCTTGAGTCTGCTCATTTGAAATAAATCTTAAATTTTTGGGCATCAGAACGACCAATAAAGTTTAAATGGCTCGAGGTTTTGTTAGCGTGTCTGTGGGAAAGATAATTTTGCTCCTTATTTTATTCTGATTTAATATATTTTTAGGACTTTGAAAAGTTCTTGCTGATGTCCAAAGAGGTTCTAGAGACAGTTAGAAACAACTCACTCCATCCCACCCGTAGTATGAACATAGAGAGGAGCCTCCATGCTCAGATGGAGGTCTACAAAGGCGCCCTGAGTGACTTAGCGAGCAGCGATGAGTTTCTGAGGAAGTGTAATGTTTTGGGTGCAGAATTAAGCCTATCCGGTAAGTTCGGAGTAAATGTAGACGCAATAATTCGTAAACAGATGTTTCAATTAGTTACGATAAAATTATCTTTCTAAATGATCGATTATATTGCAAATTTGACTATTATTCGCGATAACATCTAAAAAAACTGCATCTTCAGATCCATTACAAGTTTTTTGACATTATCTGAAAGACGTACATTTTTGTAAACTATCGAGCGTAGTGTAATAGTGCGGCAATTATTTTTTTGCAGCATAAACCGCACCCATCTGTGAGGCAGCTTTACGGCTTTTTGATGGCATGCGTTTTGACATTCGATTATTATCAAAATACACAGTTGATGCGTTTTTTATTCAATAAATAAACCAAATAAAAAATATTGGTTTCAAACATTACAAGAATAAAAACTCGATTTCGGAAATTATCCAACTCAATATATCTCGCAATGTTTTTGTACATAACTTATACACAACTTGGCTTTATGCTTTCCAATTGATTACATTCAAAATTGTGTCTATTTGTATTTGGTGCCACTTTTGCTGCGTTGCTTTGGCACTTTATAGCATATGTAGCTGCTTTATTTGTGGCTAGTGTTTGCAATTTCTCAAGGGATAGTGGCGGAGATGCATGAACAGGAGATTATAAATCTCCTGGTCGCTGGATTGATTCCGCCACAGCTAAAGTTTTAGTTTTCAAGGCTTATTTTACCTTTTTCTCATTTCATTTTAGGGAGTCACTTAGTCGTTTTCTCGCTAGAGTTTGCGAAGCACAGCTTCGCCTCTGGGTATAAATCTTGATATTTAGAATTGGAGAAGTCAGATTTGGACAAACTGAACATATCTTGGAAGTCTACAGTATCGACATTGGAGTCGAAACTGGATAAATCGGAAAAGAATTGGTTGAACCGAATTTCGTTTGAAGATAAGTGCGAGTATTGGACTACTTTTACGAAAGAAATCCAATGGAAACTTCAAAGGAGGTCCAAATTTAGCTACGATTCGCTCAAAATTTACTTCAATGAGCTGCAGAGCATAGCGAATGAGCTTCTCTCTAAACAACAGCTTATGCAGGCCATATTGGTTGAAGGAAGAAGAATTATTTCTGAGAGCACGTTTTCTAATCCAAATTGCGAAGAAGTCAAATCCAAGTTAGAAGATTTCAAAAGGCAGTGGAAGGAAGTAGCAAATAAAGTGGACCAAGAGAAAACCCACATATCAGAGGTGAGAAAATCTGCTCCTTTGTGGAAAATTATACTATTTAAGACTGCTGAGTCATTCAATTTTCAATAGCCTTATTTGGTTCCTGTCACGAAGGTCAAATTTATGACAGAGAAATTCTCAAGAAGCAATCTATGTTGCCACGAATGTACGACTGCTTTTTATTAAGTCTTAATGCTCTAACAACGAAAGAAGTGCATTCTTACTTATAAATGCAGATATGAATGCCCTTAGGCATATATGCACTTTTTGATTTGAATTCAGTTTCATTTCCACTTATGAAAACTGAAGTAGCGCAAAAAAACGTGATCGAGTTCTAGTTTCGGAAGTGGAATTTAATTTTCAGACTTCTAATGCAGGCATGTGGCATAAAGCTAGTTGAATTGAACAACCTCTAAGCTGTCCATTTCATTTCTGGACGCTGCTGTGGCAAGATTTTTTGAGGTTGAGGCAACACCCTACGATCCAGGGAAATGATTTAACAATATGAATTTCGATTTTAATCAGGATTACATCAGCAACTCTCTGCATGCGTTTTTCCCCTAATATCCAAAGTGTCTTATATTAATTTTGGTATAGCTGTTGGAGAAGTGGGTCTGTGTGAGGTCTGAGTGGGCTAAATTGGACCAGTGGCTGAGGGAGATGGTGGCTGAGATGTACTCTTTCCAACAGGATGGAGGAAGATCAGGAGCTGCAGACACTCACAGTGCCTCGGGAGAGGCCGGTGCAAAGGCACAGCTGCTGCTAAGCAGATTACAGGTTTCATAGTAGTTCAATTAAGTATAATGTATGCTACCTTTTCTACCAGCGGATATCGAGTAAGGAGTTGCCAGCAGCTGCGCAAGCGCTGAGCTGGAATTTTCATAGGCCGTTTTTTCCGTAGTTTTTAAGTAGGCGCCTTATTTTGGTCAAGGTTTCTGAGTCGCAACAATAATGGTGACTTAAAATATGCTAACCTTAATAGCGTTGCAACCAATAAATTAAGCAAACAGTATCTGCGGGACAGTTTGTTTGTAATATCTCAGATTTGATGCGACTATAAAAAGGAAGCTTTTATGAACTAAATAAACAAAGTTGGGTCACTGAAGTCTCTTATTGATTCACATCGATTTTCGGATTTCCTGATATAAGTTTTAAAGCAATCGAAGAATGGCTTGTCACATTTGTAATTTAGACACTGGAATCAACAATCGAAGCGCGTAGAGAGGATTCCGATCATCTCTCCAAATTAGTTACAGAGGTGATGAGCTGTGCAGATAAGAACTCCTACTACGACCTCCAACGGCAACTGGAAGCCATGGAGAACAAGTGGGAAGAATTTGACATCAATATACGGTCAGCAATTTCATTATAACTCATCTCTTGGCCAGGGTTACAGCTTGTTCCATCTGTTCAGCTTGTTGATCTGTAGATTTTTCTCTTATCAATTAAATTGCTATTTGGTAAAATTTTCTGGAATTCAAAAAATGGTTTTTCTTGGTTTCCTTGTTCTTTTAAATCGCTGTAGTTAGTGAATTATCTTTTGTTGTGTTAAAGATCTATCATGTTTTTACAGATTTATCATGTGTTTGATGCTTTTCAGAAGGACCAAATCGATGGCGCATCAGACGATGGCTGAAATAGAAGACAAACAGCAGAATCTGAAGAGTATGCAGGACACTTTGAAGGAGGTGGAGATGAGTGTTGACCAGTTGAGCAGTGATGCAGATAGTAGACTGGAACGAGAAAGTGATAGTCTGGATGCACTGGTGCGCACTGAGAAGGTCAAATTGAAGCGCATCGAAGTACGTTTGAGATAAGCAAAGTATCAATATAAAGAGTGAAAGGTTCGAGACAGACCATGATTTGTTCTTGTTACAAAAAGAGGCAATAGTTCCCAGTTGAGAAAAAAAACAAGAGAAAAGTTTTTCCAATCAGCCCGCATCCAGTTTCAAGCGGCAATAATCGATTTTGTTATGATTTTAGTACCAGTCCTGCTAAAATTGAGAAAAAAATCTATTATAATTGATTAATAATCGACTTTAATCGCTCTTTTCGAAAACAATTTATCATACAGTTTAATCAATTATAATCGATTATTAATCCATCTATTTTTCGATTCAATAATAATCAATTATTACATAAGCAATGCCTGTGTTATAGTATGAACTATGTTTTTTTTCAACCTAAGTCGCAAATATTGTTGCAACACAAATATTGTTGCGACGCAAATATTGTTGCGATTAAATGTGTTCATTTTGAAATGGTTCATTTTGATCAAGAACCAGGTATTTAGTACAGCCAATGCTAAGGATTTTGACACAGACTATTATTGTTCCGTTTTTCGAAACGAAATTAACAGAATTTTTGTGCTCGTGGTGGTTTTTTTTTCAGACAAATTTCACTTTTTAACTAGCTAATTTTGACGGGATTTTCTATATCATTCAAAAATTATTGTTGTCCTGAGCTTAAATTTGGAAAGATATTTCACCTGTGATCTTTTTTCGTAAAATTTTGGGTCTTAAAAATTGCCATTTTGGCCAATTTGGGACAATTAATGCGCGATCTATTTCGCGCTATTAACGCGTAAGCGGAGATTCAATCCGTCATAAAACTCGTTCCAAATTAGTTGAAGTAATCTTATTTTCCAGACTTGATTTGTTACTACTAGGAAAGCTATCACTTTTTCCTTAGTATGGCGTGTGGGGGGGGATGATTTTCACAAAAAAATTTTATTTTTATTACATTTAATTTCATGTTATTACTGCTCCATAGACTGCTCTATAAATTGAGGCATGTTAGTTTTCAACTATCTTTTTTTCAAATTGACTGGTACTGCTAATGCGTCATAATTGGCGTGCGTTACCTAAAAAATTTTGTAGACTCAAATTTCTACTCATTCATTTTTTCCCAGTAGCGTTATCGGCAATATTTTTGCGGGTGTATGCGAAGTGCAACTTCGCCTCGTGGAATTGATTATTTGTATCCCAATTTCTAATTTGTTATGCACAAAAAATCAGGTTTAATTGATTATTACAAATGCGAGCGCAGTGTGATAGTACGACTACTCTTTTTTCCAACCTAAGCCGCAAATTTTTATTAGGGCCATTTTTGATTTCACATTAACGGCTTTTTGTTAGAATGTGCTTTGATATTCGATTAGCGATAAGTTAACACAGTTGATGTATTTTTAAATTGTCCAGTTTTCATGCAAAGTTAGCGTGGTGGTCTTCAGCATGCTATATTCCAAATTATTACATGCAAAATTGTGTTTATTTCTATTTGATGCCCTTTTGCTGCATCGCGTTGCCAATTTATCAGCATTTGTGGCTGCTTTATTGGTGACTTGTGTTTGCCGATAACTGCGTGGGGCTCCTTATCTCGAGGTTGCAGTCTCGAATACCATACGTAGCAAAGTTTTACTAATTCGAGGCTTATACCTTTTCTTATTGCACTTATAAAGCTGCATGTTTTCTTCTCCCTTATAATGAAGTATATTGGATACCTAAGAGTTCTTTCATGGGTGGCGCTACAATTCACCTGACTTTGTTTTCCGTCCTTCATCGGAAGTAATTTCCGGTGGAAGGAATTTTCTTATTGCACTTTATAAAGCTGCTGTTTTGTCGTGTTCTCTTTAGTGTTTGCGAAGTGTTTAGTTTTTTTTCCTATTAGAATGGTTTCATGATGCGCATATCTAGTTTTTTAAGCACCAAAATATCAACACATGGTTTCAGTTTCAAGACTTAGCTTGGAAGAGTTAAATTTCACCTACCGCGGGAACGTTTCAACTAATATGAAGGCATCTATGCAACTTTTTTTTGGTGGTAAAGTTTTATGTTTATAGAGATTAGTTATGGACAGAAAAATAATAACCCATAGTAGGATTTTTAAAATATATATACTTTTCGGTCGGCAATGTTTTGGCAAATTAGATACTTAAATGGATGTAATGAGTTTTCTGTAGAACTATAATCAATTAAAATGGATTATAAGAGATTATAGTCTCATGGAAAATATCTCGGTTATTGTTGGTTATTAATCAATTACACAATTATGCTTTGGTAATTATAATCAATTGTAATTTAACAAGGGATAGTCAAAACATTAGTTGTTAAAGACTGAATTGAACTGATTTCTAGTTCGCATAAATAAGAGAGTGAACTAGAGGTCAACACATAACAGCTAGACAGCTCTAGGCTGATTGACAGGCAGGTACCAAACTCACACTTAATTATAATATGAGAACTTTCAGAGATAAGTAAATAAAGGGTAGCAACTAAATTGATTGACATCTAAATATGTAGCCCCTCACAAATTGTCAAAAAATCAGCAAAATAATCCATTATAATCGATTTACATAAACCTAAAATTGGATGCGGGAGGGTCAACAGTAGTTATTTGTAAATGAGTCGAAAAGTTTTCATGTTTTCCTTCCCTTGTAATGAAGTTAATTGGATACTTAAGAGTTCATTCATGGGTGCGCTACTATTCACCTGACTTTGTTTTCCGTCCTTCATCGGAATGATTTCCAGGTGGAAGGAATTTTCTTATTGCACTTTATAAAGCTGCTGTTTTATGTTATCTTTAGTGTTTGCGAAGCGCAGCTTCGCCTCTGTGGAATCGATTATAATCCCTTTTGTTTGCCTTTTTTGTGTTCGACCTTGCATCTCAATTGCTTATATATTTTTTATTTTTTTCAAGGACGTTGATTTATGGGAAAATTGTTTTTTTTAGCAGTTTTCAAATCAATTTTTTCAAGGAGATTGATTTATGTGAAAAATGGGAAAATCGTTGTAGCAGTTATCAAATCATAGCAAGTAAGTATTTTTTAATTTTTTCTATTAGATTGGTTTCATGATGCGCATTTATAGTTTTTTTTAACCACCAAAATATCAGTACTTGGTTACAGTTTCATGACTTAGCTTGGAAGAGTTAATTTTTGCCTACCGCGGGAACGTTTCAGCTAATATGAAGGCATCTCTATGAAACTTTTGTTTCGTGGTATAGTTTTATGTTTTTAGAGGTTAGTTATGGACAGAAAAATATTAATCCGTAGGATTTTAAAAATATTTATACTTTTCGGATGACAATTTTTTGGCAAATGAGATGCTCAAATGGATGTAATGAGTTTTCTGTATGAACTATCAACAATTATAATGGATTATAAGAGAATATTAATCCTTTAAACACTTATGCTTTGGTAATTATAATCAATTATAATTGTCAAAAAAAATCAGCAAAATAATCCATTATAATCGATTTACATAAGCCTAAAATTGAATGCGGGCGGGTCAACAGTAGTTATTAGTAAATGAGTCGAAAAGCTTTCATGTTTTCCTTCTCTTGTAATGAAGTGAATTGGATACTTAAGAGTTCATTCATGGTTGGCGCTACTATTCACCTGACTTTTCCGTCCTTCATCGGAAGGAATTTCCGGTCGAATTTCTTTTCGAAGTTTTTTTTTTAATTTTTCCTTCACAAAATCGGGTCTCTGTAATAAATCAGAAAAATTCATGTGCGATTAGAGCGAGTAGAGTATAAAATATTGTAATCGTATTAACCATATTTTTAAAAGCAAAGTAGGAAACGCTTTTCGTTGTGCAATAAGCAAACGATAAATATGAATTCTTTCAGGAGCTGAAGTTAATTCTTAAAGAGAGGATTTCAACTCGTCATTCAGTGTCCGCAAAATCAGGTCATAGCTTTGGATCAATACTGGAAGATCGCGTATCTATGACCTCAAAACACTGGAATTCATTGACACGCCAGCTCGAGACACTTTTTGAGCGTACTTCAATCAGGCTCAAAATTCTAGAAGACGTTAGTCAAAAATTAACCAAAGTAGAGCGAGGCGTCAACAATGGAAAAACTTGTCTGAGTTTTACCTGTAATACTTGCAAAGATCTTCAAAGTTTGCATTCCCAGCTAAAAAGAATCCAGAAAACAAACATGATGACCATGAACGAAGAATTGGGAGTCATTCAAAGCGACGTAAAGAATATCGGAGTCACGAAGCTTGGAACCTGTAGTTTCTCTCAACTTGAATTGAATGCAATTCAACAGAATGTCAGACATATATCGATTGATGTGCATGCTTTTGAAAAGGAGGTTCATGAAAGGTGCGTTTTATGTAAAGCTATCGTTTATATTTCTATTTTCCTTTTAATAAAAATTGTTTGTCTTCTTTTAACTAACTCTGACTGACTGACTGAACAGAAAAAACGCAGTCTGCGGCTGTTAGAAGATCGGCGAAAATGGTCTCTTTTTTGTTCCTGAGAGATCTTCATTAAAGATTTTGATTTGGGAGGAAGAACATTGTTTTCATTAAAAGTTTCCTAAATGAAAATCTGCACATGCGTAGTCCGGTATTGTCAGATTTCTAAAAGATAAGCTTTTTTTATAAGAATTCATATTTTTAACCCAAGCGATGTATTTTATTGAGAGTCATGAACGTAGCGAATACTCTTATATAGGTCTTGAAGATTTTTTTTTAAAGAAAAAGTCTTAAAATTTGTTCACGGTTGACTTTCGTTTTCTTTTTAAGTTCACTTCATTTCCTTTGTTGGAAGGAGGGGGAACTCCACTATCCAACATCTAAAAAGTAAAGGTCACTAAAAACGTGATCGACGTCTAGTTTTGAGAGTGGATTTTAATTTTCAGATTTCCCAGCGGAATGTTCAAAGCTCGAAGTTCAAGAGCTCTAAGGCCATAGATTTTTCTTTTTGAAATTAGAAAGCTGATTTTTTTACACAAACAAGTTATTGACTCTTACTTGCGTTCATTGATTCTTTTCCAATTGTATTGGCTATGGTCTTGTTTTCAGCTTTGCTTTTGTGTTGTATGTCGAAATATTTACCTACTTCAATCAGATTTTTGGGTTTTTAAGAAGTTTTGCATGGGTGGTCAAGTCTCAAAGCTTCATTGCACTTGCAATCAGCTTAGGGTATTAGTACGAACCTTATTTTTTCTAATCTACTTCGCAAATAAAAGTGTTCATTATTTGGAAATTTCACTGTAGCATTGGAAATTGCCAAGCAGCTGTTCTTCTTTATTTGTGGCTAGTGTTTGGTTCCTATCAAGCATCCATGGCCTGGTAAGCATCCGTGGCTAGTGTGTGAAACTGTTAACCTCTAGGTCGCAGCTTCGTCTCTGTGTCAAATGTGAGTTTTTGTAACCAAAAGAAAATAGAGGTTTTGTGCTTTGTGAAAGAGGTTTTGTGCATTGTTTATGCGTTAGTTGAACAGGATATCTATCTTTAACGAGTTTTTTCAAATTCTATGCTGCCTGATCTCGAAGAATGTTCAAGTTACTCCAAGTTTATCTGAAAATTGTTGAAACGAAAATGCCATGGCTAAATGAATAAAGCAAGTGGCTGGAAGTCAGAGCCTGAATCCTGTAGTCTTTGTGATTTTTTTGTTGTGTATATTATGTTTTAAGGTATATTTATGTGTTTTTGTTCATTTTACTTTGCTGTTTTTAGGACTTTTCTTAGGTTTGCTTGTGGTTGTGAAGTGTAGCGTTTCTGAGTTAATAAGGCTCATGTTTTGGTTTAATACTTTTCATAATATCTTTCTGCGAAGCATGTCCACCCGAAATTCTGTTTAAACGGCACGCAGATCAAGTTCGAATATTGAACCGGTAAAAGTTGTTAACTCCTATTTTTTTAAGTTTGGCTGAGATTTTTTCTGAGCATTTTGTTAGTTGTCTTCCATACCTCTTTCTGCTTAAATGTGTACCTTTAATTACTCGCAAGATTTCGCACGTTTTCCCATTTGCTTCATCATAAATTCAATTTTAAGCAACCATCTGTCGTAGAGGTAAGGTAACACATATGCTTGAGACGACAAAGTGTTGTGTTCGAATCCGGTCGGTACCTGTTTGTGTTGCAAACCAGAATATTTTCTTTTTTTTTGGACTATCGCGCTTCTGATCATTTTTTCTATGCTTATTTCATGATTTTTGGATTTTAGCAATCCCCTTCATAATTTCCGTTTTTTAGTTTTTTGTTTACCTGGCTTAAAAGTTTTTGGTTTATACCTCGGCTTAGTGGCCCCATGTTCTGTCGTTTGATGAGTGAAACAATTTTTTTATGCGTATTAGGCTTCATCTTTTTTGGCCCAACGGGTGTCTGTCTGCTAAAAAATTGTCGGGTTTGTTACCGCTGCGTAAGCTGTTTCGAAGCAGTTTTAATGGTCAAAAGATATGATTACTTTGGTAGATGTAGCTTTTCTCGACATTTCAAACTTTTTTCGACTTAGATACTTTCGTCTCAAACTTAGCATGAAAAACTAGCAGACAGACATTGAGACGAAAGTATCTATGTTTGTGTTGTATCGCAAGTGATGGGAAACTCTTAACTCATGCTTATTTTCCTGAATTTTCTGGTACTCGAGGTATGTAACGGACTTGTCTGGGTAAATGATTTTATCGATAGTTGTTCCAGAAATTAACCGGTTTTTTCCTAGTTCACTTCATTTGTTTGGCTAAATAGTTTTTTACTGAGCCATATTTTTCGTTTTGCTTTTGACTGCTAAATTATTTTGCGAGCGCATTTGGAATGAAGTTTTCTCAGGTTTTGCCAAAAATAGATCATCTATTGCTTCGCTGTTGTTGCTTGTATTGTTCGGTCCAGTTTTTTGCTTTAGTTTTTGGCTTTATTGCTGCTTGATGCTTGGTTTACATGTCGCTTTTTTCAGGTAGTAATTTGTTTGAATAAGCTGTTAATTTTGTTCATCTAGATATATTTTTGAGACTTTTTTTGTGTTATAATATTTGGGGTTCCGACCACTCAATAGCACACAAAAACATATCTCGTAGCTAATCGATGTAGTATACTTTCGAAACCTTTCTATCTTTACTCTGATTTAAAGAAGATTCTGGCGTATGATTCAGCAATGAGCGGGAAAAAATGGAATCTTAATTGAAACAGTAACTTTTTTTTGAATACATTCACTACATGAACATGTCTCGCCTGTCTTTTTTTGAAGCATAATAAAGTATGCAGGTCAATTATTTCATTCTAAAAGAAATCAAACGCTTTTGTTTTCATTTGCTGCAGTGAGTTCTGGGGTCGGAACATTCTAATAATAGGTACATGTTCAATTAGAGGAGAACTGTCTGTATCCAACTAACCTCTATTTATTTAATCTTACTGTAAAAGAAAATCTTTCTGTATCTTTTTCTAGATTGGCAATGTGATTTCTTAACTGTGACAACTATAGTTGTCTCTCTGTTTGTGGGAGGAGCCTCTGTGGGTCGCAATTAGTTACCAACTATACCTGACTGAAGAGAAGAATGCTTTACTTTATGTATTCTGCATTTACTTCATTTTTAATTCTTCTTTCGTCAAATAGATTTTAGCGACGTCATCAAACTAACCCCAGGTTTTTCTCTCTTGTCTTCCTAAAAGAGTTGGTGGCGTGAACAGTATTTTCATCTTTCCCGAATTCAACCAGCAGTCCCCATTTTCATCAAAATTGCTGCCTGCGCTTAATAGCCAACACTAGTTTCATAATATGCTTCTTGTTTGGCTGATTATCTGTTGCTATCAATAGTAAAAGTACCTCAATCTATCCTCAAAATTTTAATTTCTAATTGTAAAAATCATTTTTGCTTGAGTATTTAGAGTACATGCTTCATAGTTCTAGCTTTGAACAGATTAACTTACCAATTTAGCTTATCTTTGCTTTGCTTTCCAGTCTTTGTTCAGTGGCCAACTTATTTTCTAGATAGTGGAAATTAAATTCCTCATTCTCTGTTAAGCCTTCTTACATTCAGCTATTTTAGTGCCTCAAGTGTCGATCTTTAGTTTTGTGTGTACCATATATTACCATACCTGCCTACCTGCTTGGTCAGATATCCCGTGGCAACCAGTTTCCTGTGGGGGTTCTTAAAACCTAATCTGTCCAACTTCCTCCCTCCTTCTTCACATACCTCTATCGTTTAACCTAGCTCGCCCCTTACCATCCAAATTAGCCGTTATTGTAAGGCGTTTTTTTCTCGCTCCCAAGGTTTTCAAAATAATCGAATTGATATTTTGTTCCATCAGAATTCTAACATTGTTAAGCTTGCATTTTATTGTCCTTCTTTTGATTGCTTGCTGTGGACCTGTTTAAATTCCTCTTGCTTGTATTGATAAATTGATAAGTGGGCAAATTATTTTTGATAGAAAATATTTTTGAAAAATTTTGCATGTAAAAAAGTTACTTGCTTGATAGCCAAATCATTTACTAGTCTACTGTCATCAAAGGAAATTTAATCAGTTTGGTCGCATATTTTGTGGCTTGAAAGGGGTTTTCCTTTGATTAATCATTATTCCGAACTTCAGTTACCTGTAATTGGAAAGTTTGCCTCTTAATTTGTGAAATGAGTGCCACCTATCAATCCCTTACTTCTACTCCTATCTCAAAGGGCAAACGTGAAAAGTCACAAGGTATAGTTGCCGATTCCTCGTTGAACAGTAATTGGAGTCGTGGTATATCTTCATCTCAAATGGAACCTGTCGTATCATCGGGTTCTCAAATCGGAAATGAAAACTCAACAGAGTCTTCAGGTGTCGCTGGTGTTGGTTATTCGAACACGCAGTTTGACACCTGGCCTAGAGTGGCCCATCATACCAAATCAGACAGTCCTTGTCTGGATCAGAAGATAGCACAAGTGAAGTTGCTCTTGTCCAAGGATGAGGGCACTGATCAGAAGTAAACTCGATTTCTTTTTTTCTAAAAATGCATTTAAGATCAGAAAATTTTAGGTTTAGTAAATTTTTGTTTCCCGTAATGGTAGGTGGGACCTTTTTCTTCTTTCATTTTTCATGAGGAATTCATAAGTTGTTGTTGTGTTCTCAATTTCTTTTCTATTCGGACTAGAAATTATCGTAGATATAACTAACTCGGATGAAGAAAATTTTATTGTTACTATTCAACTAATCTTCTTTTTTTTTCAGAGTTACAAGATCTTTTACTTGTGATACTGGTTTTTAAAGTCGAAGTTTTTTCTAATAACTTTTTGTAAAAACGTTGTTTTGTTTTCTTTTTAGGGTTGAAAAAATCCAGACGATGCTGTCTGCTTCCAAGGAACTGGAGCAGAGTCTGGATTTTCTGAAGAGATGGTTCGGTCACGTAGAGACCAAATTAAACCAGCCCATTCTGGTACACTCATTAGAGGAGGAAAAATTCAACCTAATCCTCAACCAACACCAGGTGATTTTTCCATTTTTCTTCACATTTTTATCCTTTATTTGACATTTTCATTCCTTTCATCGAGCAACATATAGTAATGGCATAACAGAGTGAACTAGATTAATACGTGTACGTGACGTAACGGCGGTAATGTGAGGGAACACAGCGTGCTGGAGGGTCGCTGACCGCGTAATAAATTTCAGCTTCTTTTCATTCTTAGTTTTCCAGCGTAGGTGAAGTTAAATATTATACAGCAGGCCCCTGATTAGTCACAAAAATATCAATCCTCTAACCTAAGTCTGAGTGGTATTGACTTTTTATAGTAACATTATCTTATTATACCAATCTGGCTACCTTTTTTGAACTGATTTTTTTTTCATTCCTTAACATAAAATAGCATTCCTGTCACTGCAAAAAAGTACGAAATATTTTAATTATTTGTTCACTTGGCCGTCTTTGCTGTTTTTAATTGTTCCTGCGGAATCATTGTATATCATGTGTTATTATGATTTATTTGCTAACTGCCAAGTCAACGTTCTCAAATGTGACTTTTGAAATTGGTGTCATTTGCTTCCGGTTTAAGAAGGCACTTCAGATGCCTCTGTCAGGCTCATAGACACCATTCAACCATAATTATACCATTCGATTCATATTTTGTTATGATTGATTTTGACGCTAACTGTTGCGTATTTGTGTGCAATAACAGCTCGATCTAATTACTACTTTTCACATATGATACAGTTGATTCATGAAGTAGAGTCTGACTTATTTCTATCTATTCGAAATCAACAGGAGAATTCCTAATGTCTGCTACTGCAACGTGTTGCAAGCTGAAGCTACAAGTTAACTCCGTAAATGTAAATATTTACAGTGAGTTTTGATCAAATAAGCTTCGTCCCATGCAAGTTCAATAAGTGCTTGCGGTCTTCTGGACTTGGAAATAATTTGAACTGCTGTTCGAAATTATATCTGTTTTAGATATGGTTCCATTCTTGAAACGGCACAGTGTTGTAAATTTCGGAATTCTGCCACTAATTTACATTTTTTTGAAAAAAATCAATATACAGTTGTTTATTATGATAATTACCTACTAAGTAATTTTTGTAGGAGTTACATCAGGACATTGTGAATCACAGTGAAAATGTTCTCTCAGTGATGCAGTTATCTGAGCTACTGGTAGCTGATGCGGACATGTTCCCCGGTCTTACGTCACAGCAGACTGGCGTGGAACATTCTAGAAGGAATTTAGCATCATCTCTGAATGGGAGTGGCAGCATGGATCTGACTAGACTGAAAAACAGTTGCAAGACTGTGAGTAAGCGGTGGGATATGATAACTGCACAGAGCCAGGATAGATTAGCGAGGTCAGTAGTTTGGTCACAATAAGAAGAAGTTATTAAATAGATGCAGCTCTTAATCATAGGACACAAGACAGTTGTTCTCATTGAAGAGCTAAACGACCTTATCTTGAAGTTGCTGTTGTTTGTACTGCTGTAGCTCATATGATTTTAGGAATAGTTTTCGTCGCTCGAGTAGTCGTTTTCATAGCAAGGAACCTATTTCTTATCCCAATCATTATAAAGAAGATGATATACTGAATTTAACTCTATCTTTGTACGCCTAGAATCAACAAGGCATGGGACAACAGTCGGAAGTTCCTGCAGAGTTGTGACAGCTTCATGCAGTTCATCGACGAACAGAGCAGTCGTTTGAATGCACTGGAACAACAAACTCTCGCAGTCCCCTCCACCTTGCAGTCGATTGGAAAGAGGTCTAGCGTTGAGACAGTCATCCGCAAGATAGACGTAAGCGTCTCAATAGCTTTTTTATGAAAGTATCGGCATTTCGGCACATGTTTTTTTTTCAGGTTAACAAGCAGTTTCACAAAATCACTTGAATCATTTCGCCAACAGGCTGGTCAACAAATGTATTTTGAGCAAGTCTGCATTGTAAATTCCCATTATATTTACACATGCGAGCTAGCGAGCGTAGTGTTATTTTACGAATTCACTTTTTTTAAACTCATTTGATGACACGTTTGCTGCATAGCATTGACATTTTAATTACATCTGTTGTATCAGTGGCTTGATTTTTGGCTAGTATTTGCTGATTTTCAAGCCACAATGGCTCAGATACGGGGATGTATAACTCTAAATCTTGAGGTCTGCGGTTCCATTCCTGCACATAGCTCTAAAAGATTTTTAAAAAAAGGAAAGAAGAAGCAAAAAACAAGCTTTGAAAATTTAAAATTGTGATTGTGGACTTGAAACTTTTAATCGCTTTTTCGTCAAATCATTTTTTTATCGGCTCAAGTGGTTTCTGCTCAAAAGGTTGTCAGATTTGTTTCCGCTTCGTAAAAATGGTTACGTTGCTAATTTGAATATCAAATGTCTTGCTTCGCTGGTTTGCTTAGAATTACTGTTTTACAAAAACAGGTGTTAGGAAAGTTTATGAGATTGGTTTATTTATTTCAATTTTTTTGCGACGCTTTGAAAAAGTTCAATTTTGCATTTTTTCTTAAAAATTAATGTAGAGATTTTCAAAAAAAAAAAAGCTTTGAACGAAAAGAACCTCCCTCCCCTATGTGCCTACATACTTTTCTAGTCTCTGTTTACTTTACCTTATGTGTACTGCCTTCGGGAAAGTCTGTGGTTGAAATTTGACCCATGTTTTTGACTTTTTAAAATTGTTTTCTTAAAAACTAGCCTTTCAAATCTGAGATGTCGGGTTCAATGGATCGAGTGGCGGGAAAGGAGCTCCCTTGTTTAAGCGGCTACACCCATTTTTTATACCTAAAATTACGGCCCTCGGAATTGTCAATGTTTTCTATTTTTTGACTGTCTTTTGAATCTCTTTGATCTGAGATTGTGGGTTCATTTGAGATAATGGGCAGCATTAGCCAATCCTCTGATTTAGTGGCTACTCGCATTTTCTACACAAAAAGCTATCGCCCTCGAAAAAGTCAATTTTTTGAATGTTTTTTTTTTAAATTTTCTCGAAGATCACCCTCACATATCTGACATTTTGGTTCGATCCAGAGAACGGGTTGAGTGAAATTATTTTGCATACGCGACTACGCCCAAATTTTCACACAAAAATTATGGCCCTCGGAAAAGTCACAATTTCGATTTTCTTTCCGTTGTTTGAAAAACTGCGACTTTTATTGAGAACTACCCGTCCAATTTGAGTTTTTGGGTTTATTCGAAATCAAAGGTTTTGTGAATCTCTATGAAGCTATGATTCTTTTAAATGTCAAATTTTTGATTTTATGATCGTTTTGGACTTTTCTCAATAAATATTTTGCCAACTCTTATATCATAGAATAAATGGAAACAAAAGCTTGTTAAGTCTTCTTTAAAGTTGGCTAATACCAATATTTATAAGAGAAAAGTATTGGCCATCAAAAAGTTTGAATCTTCGACCGTATTTTCGAAACTTTTTGACGTTACTCGAAAACTACCGAGCCAATTCTCAGGTAAAGTATTCAATCTAGGAACCCGGTTTTGGAAATCTATCTCTCTATTCTATAATTAAATGCGCGTGACACGTTTCTTGCCATGTTTAAGCGTGTTTTTGCAACGCATAAAGTATCTATGCGTGGTTAAGCTATATCGTATATAACAATGCGTAAGAATTTTTTTTTTCGATTTTCCAATTTGAATGTAGTGTTTGTTCCACCGAGTTTAAAGTTAGCAACGCAAAATTGGGATATTTTCAGAGTTTACCCAGGGGTGGCGAGTTTGGTCTTCATTTAAGAATGCCGAAATCCTTTTAGTGTACGAGATAAGACAATTTTTGTGAGTTTTCCAAGGTTTTTTCAGAAAATTCAACTTATAAAATGATTTTTAAAAGCTTGAAAATCCCAACCCTGTGGTTGGGTGCTGTCAGAATACTCTCAAAGATTGCGAAGTCTCCAAATATGGCTGCTCAAATCATTGTAGTTTTCGAGTTTATAAAGTTAGATTATAAAAATTAAAAAGATTTGAAGTTCTCAATCTTGCAATTGGGTAATGTGAGGGTACTCTCAGGAACCTCAAGATATAAATCTTGAGCCCCAATGCGACTGCTTAAATACTCTGTTTTCGAGATATGACATTTGAGTTTTTCAAAAAGTTTCAGAAAACTTAAATTTATTTTTTTTCTTCATATTTTGAAATTCCCAACCCTTAAGTAGGGGGCTGCCAGAGTACTGGAGGGGGTTGCAAATCTCGCCGCCGCCACATATGACTTCTCAGGACTTTTCAAGTTTCCAGATGTCATGTATTTACCAAGAGTTGTAAATTTAGCGTCCAAATGCGTCTGCTCAAATGCTTTAGTTACCAATATGTGACGTTTTTTTTGTCATTTTAAATTTTTTTCAAAAAAAACTTAGATAGAAAAATTCAAATGTTTTTTTTTTAATTTGAATTTAAAAGCGCATAGAAAAAGTTTATCAAATTTTGAAATTACGAACCCTGTTATTGGGTAGTGTCAGACTACACTCAAAGGCTCTAGATTTTTTTTTCAATATATGCGGTTTTTTATGAGTTCTCAAAAATGTGAAGCACTGGAGGTTCGTTACACCCTAGTCTTCTTTAATTTAACGGCCAAAAACTGCTTTTTGGACAAAAAAGTTATGGTTTTCCAAAAGTCATGTTTCTGAACTTATGGCCGTTTTTCAGATTTTTTTTGAGTTGTGTACTAGCAGCGCAAGTGTTGCGAATATATGATTTTTGACGGTTATTTCATTTTATTGAATTTTCTCGAGAATACTCATCCATATCTGACGTTTCAAGGTTCAATCCAGAGAACGGGTTGAGTGAAATTATTTTGCATACACGACTGCGCCCAAATTTTCACACAAAAATTATGGCCCTCGGAAAAGTCACAATTTCGATTTTCTGTCCGTTGTTTGAAAAACTGCGACTTTTATTGAGAACTACCCGTCCAATTTGAGTTTTTGGATTTATTCGAAATCAAAGGTTTTGTGAATCTCTATGAAGCTATGATTCTTGTAAATGTCAAATTTTTGATTTTATGATCGTTTTGGACTTTTCTCAATAAATATTTTGCCAACTCTTATATCATAGAATAAATGGAAACAAAAGCTTGTTAAGTCTTCTTTAAAGTTGGCTAATACCAATATTTATAAGAGAAAAGTATTGGCCATCAAAAAGTTTGAATCTTCGACCGTATTTTCGAAACTTTTTGACGTTACTCGAAAACTACCGAGCCAATTCTCAGGTAAAGTATTCAATCTAGGAACCCGGTTTTGGAAATCTATCTCTCTATTCTATAATTAAATGCGCGTGACACGTTTCTTGCCATGTTTAAGCGTGTTTTTGCAACGCATAAAGTATCTATGCGTGGTTAAGCTATATCGTATATAACAATGCGTAAGAATTTTTTTTTTCGATTTTCCAATTTGAATGTAGTGTTTGTTCCACCGAGTTTAAAGTTAGCAACGCAAAATTGGGATGTTTTCAGAGTTTACCCAGGGGTGGCGAGTTTGGTCTTCATTTAAGAATGCCGAAATCCTTTTAGTGTACGAGATAAGACAATTTTTGTGAGTTTTCCAAGGTTTTTTCAGAAAATTCAACTTATAAAATGATTTTTAAAAGCTTGAAAATCCCAACCCTGTGGTTGGGTGCTGTCAGAATACTCTCAAAGATTGCGAAGTCTCCAAATATGGCTGCTCAAATCATTGTAGTTTTCGAGTTTATAAAGTTAGATTATAAAAATTAAAAAGATTTGAAGTTCTCAATCTTGCAATTGGGTAATGTGAGGGTACTCTCAGGAACCTCAAGATATAAATCTTGAGCCCCAATGCGACTGCTTAAATACTCTGTTTTCGAGATATGACATTTGAGTTTTTCAAAAAGTTTCAGAAAACTTAAATTTATTTTTTTTCTTCATATTTTGAAATTCCCAACCCTTAAGTAGGGGGCTGCCAGAGTACTGGAGGGGGTTGCAAATCTCGCCGCCGCCACATATGACTTCTCAGGACTTTTCAAGTTTCCAGATGTCATGTATTTACCAAGAGTTGTAAATTTAGCGTCCAAATGCGTCTGCTCAAATGCTTTAGTTACCAATATGTGACGTTTTTTTTGTCATTTTAAATTTTTTTCAAAAAAAACTTAGATAGAAAAATTCAAATGTTTTTTTTTTAATTTGAATTTAAAAGCGCATAGAAAAAGTTTATCAAATTTTGAAATTACGAACCCTGTTATTGGGTAGTGTCAGACTACACTCAAAGGCTCTAGATTTTTTTTTCAATATATGCGGTTTTTTATGAGTTCTCAAAAATGTGAAGCACTGGAGGTTCGTTACACCCTAGTCTTCTTTAATTTAACGGCCAAAAACTGCTTTTTGGACAAAAAAGTTATGGTTTTCCAAAAGTCATGTTTCTGAACTTATGGCCGTTTTTCAGATTTTTTTTGAGTTGTGTACTAGCAGCGCAAGTGTTGCGAATATATGATTTTTGACGGTTATTTCATTTTATTGAATTTTCTCGAGAATACTCATCCATATCTGACGTTTCAAGGTTCAATCCAGAGAACGGGTTGAGTGAAATTATTTTGCATACACGACTGCGCCCAAATTTTCACACAAAAATTATGGCCCTCGGAAAAGTCACAATTTCGATTTTCTGTCCGTTGTTTGAAAAACTGCGACTTTTATTGAGAACTACCCGTCCAATTTGAGTTTTTGGATTTATTCGAAATCAAAGGTTTTGTGAATCTCTATGAAGCTATGATTCTTGTAAATGTCAAATTTTTGATTTTATGATCGTTTTGGACTTTTCTCAATAAATATTTTGCCAACT